TTCCCTACATAGAACTTTTATCATTTTGTACTTCAACCAGCAACATGCAAGGGGACTTCAATAAATCAATGAGCTAAAAAAAATTAAAAGTGGGTACCTTCTCATAATCTCATGGCACTTTCAACTACTTCTTAAATTGCTTCTTAAATTAATCCTAAATTACAGGTTAGAAAAGTTGTTCCACTTTCCTTTTTTTTTAAGTTCTGCTATAGTGTGTGTGCATTTGTCTGAGAGAAACAGAGAGAGAGAGGGAAAGTAGAAATCACCACCCTAGGGGGATGGCCACACTGCAATCTCTTCTTTATTCTCCTCTCAGGATAGGATTTTGGGTACACACACACAAGGTCCCTGTGTGATTTTCAAGGCATGGGTCTGAGAGGTGAACTGTGGAGTCGGCCATGTGGGATCTAGTACCTTAATCACCATGCCACCTGCCGACCCATGGCTCCAACTTTTTAAGAATCCTAATTCTTTATAATGACATTCAAGGTACACTCTGAACTGCCTCTATTCCATTTTGCAGGCTGATTTTAAAGTTTTGCTTTTGTCATGATGCCTTCCTCTCTCACAACCTGAAGATTCCAGCACTACTAGATAATTCTGTCAGCAAAATACAGCCTTCTCTTTCTCAAGCTTTCTTTTTTTCCCTTTTCTTTCTTTCTCTCTTTCTTTCTTTTTTTTGAGAGGTTTTTGCTATAGGGTGCATGTGCTTGCCGGAAAGACAGAGAGAGAGACGGAGAGACAGAAAGAGAGAAATCACCCCCCAGAGGGGATGGCCATGCCCCAATCCCCTTTCCTTCATTCTCCTCTCAGGATCTTGGGCATGCATGCACATGCGCCCAGCGTGAGTTCAAGCCACTGGGTCCAAGACTCCAACTGCAGTTGACTACATGAGAGTCCAGCAACATAGCCATTACGCCAACAGCTGGTTCCTCTTTTTCAAGTTTTCTTGAGCTGTTCTTTCCATCAAGAATTTTCTTTCTTCATCTCTATCAATGAAAGTCTTACCACTATTGATAGGCCAGAGATGATGTTTTCCATTATGTATGTCATATAAATCCTTTCAAATGGGATAAAGCATTGTCTTATGTATAATAGAGTAATATTTCATTTGTATCTCTAATGAATTAATTAGTTGACACTACCTTGTAATATAGTTAGATGAGTCTTTGTTTTCTTTCCTTGAAGGAAAGAGCCTTTTTAAAATATATTTTAGTGTTTCTCTTGGCAAGTAACATAGAACTTATACATGGTAGATATTCAATACACCTCTAGAGAATTCAATTAAATGTGAATGAAGTTCAAGACAGCACAGTGCAGACTACTTGTATCATATTTCTCTCTAGGCTTCTTTTCAAACAGCTTCATATATAAACATTTTTTCGAAGAGCCTCATATATGAAAATCATTTTTCTTAGCTTTAGTATAAACGACTAATTACATATTTAGTTACATAAATTTTGATTGACTGTTCTTTGAGATATGACTAGTGCTTTAAGAAACTTTATTATATTTACTTCTCAAATGCCAAAGGAATTATTATATATTTATAATTTTTTTTAGAGGTTTTTGCTATAGGGTGCGTGTGCTCGCCAGAGAGAGAGAGAGACAGAGAGACATAAGGCGAGAAATCACCCCCCAGGGGGATTGCCACGCCGCAATCCCTTCTCCTCCATTCTCCTCTCGGGATCTTGGGCATGCACACACACGCACCTGGCATGAGTTTAAGCCATCGGGTCCGGGACTCAACTGCAGTTGACTACATGGGAGTCCAGCGACATAGCCATTACGCTAACTGCTTGTCCCAGTTTTTACATATGACTACATAAAATTAATAAAGTAATTTCATTTTCCCCTACATCAGATGGGTACTATGCTGATATCCTAACAAAGTGTTGGGGAGGCATGTATCACACAATGGCATGAACACCCAATTGTCATGCTTATGAACTAAAAAGTATCAATAAAGTAATTCTTAAAACTAGGTTATGGGTGGCAGCAGGTGACATAGTGAGTAGGGGGCCAGACTTCCATGTGGCAAACCATGGTTCCAATCCCTGACCTGGCAGGTGCCTTCTCACTTTCCTGCTCTCTCTCTCTTTCTGTTTCTGGTGAGTGCATGTGACCTATAGCAAAATTAATAATAATAAATAAAATAAAATTTAAAAATTCTTTAAAAAAATTTTAAATCCCAACTAGGTTCTAGGGGCCAGCAGACAACATGGGGGTTAAGGTGAATGGATCCCAAATGGTCAACTGTATGGTTGAAGCCCTGAACTTAGCAGCTTGAAAATCACTCTGGGTGTTTGTGTGAGCATGCCCAAAAGCTTGAGAGCAGATTACAGAAGGGACTGTAACATGGCCATCACCCTGAGGGTATGCTTTCTCATTTTCCTGCTCTGTCTGTTTCTGGCAAGAACACATGCCCTATAGGAAAAACAAACAAAAAACCAAACAGTAGAATATAAAATTATACACATGCTTATCACATATGTATATAGTATAATGGCTAATTTTATGTGTCAAATTGACTGGACCATAGGGTTCCCAGACATTTAGTCAAACATTAAACTGGGTGTACCTGTGGAGGTGTTTTTGGCTGAGACTAACATTTAAATCAGTAGGCTGAAGGTGTGAAAAGAATAAAAATGCTTAGAATCCTTGTGTTTTAGAGAGAATTCTTTAAGCCTTTTCTGTCTGACTGCCTTTGAACAGGGATATCAACTTTTTTCATTCTCTGCACTAAAAAGAACTTTTCCTGTGTCTCAAGCCTACCAGCTTTTGAACAAGAGCTACACCATCAGTTTTTCTGCTCCTTGGCTTTGGGACTTGGCCTGGAATTTCACCATCGGCTCTTCTGAGTCTCTAGTGTACAGATTTACCCTTAAGGCTTGTCAGCCTCTAAAACTGCATGAGCCAGTTCCTTATGATAAATCTCCTAGTACACACACACACACACACCCACACACACTACTGGTTCTGTTTCTTTGGAGAATTCTAGTACATACAAATATGAAATATCTATATAAAGAAATAAAATATGCAAATGTGATCATTGCTAGTTTATTAGGTTGGTACCTTAAGGGATCCAATCTCTTAATATTTTAAAACCATTTAAATTTTGTTAAAATATAGCTGTGTGCATGTACTATTTTTGTTAAAAATTATTAGAATACCATTTGGTACTTATTATAAGAGAAGTATTTCTTACAGAATACAAAGAAACATGCTGTATCTTTTATATTCTTTCCCCACACAACCTGTATAGTAAAACTGGATGGTACTTCTATACATATGCTTTCTACTATTGGTACAGCCTGAAAAGACACAGGCATGAAGATCACTGATACTAAGGTATGATTACATTAGTACAGTACACTGCATTACTGTGCTGACATCACTGAGAGCATGCAGTTTGTCTGGCTGATAAATAGCAGCAGATGAGTTACAGTCTACTTATAAACACTGTGTAGAAAGAAGGTTATGGGCAGGAAGGATCATTCAAAGATAGGCAAATATTTGATCTACAATTTTCCTTTGCTCTTTATGTAAGGAGATAAAAAGCAGGATACTATGGTCAATTTGGCTAACGAATACCTTCTATTGATTATATCAGCAAACCCAAGGCCTAAAAGAAATCAGGTAATAGAAGCTAAAAATGTTTTTTGATCTGCTTCACACTTTATTGCTTGTTTAGCTTTCACGGAAATTGTGGCTGTGTGACCTGTGATTGGGCCTGTGTATGGAAGCTCTATGTTCCTATCTGTACCCGATGGGTAGCACAGAGATGATCTAT